GTAAGAAAACTACGTTTTTATTTTAAAAGTTACTATAGTTCAGATGGTTTGTTCTGTGAGCTTGACTATCACCTACCTCCCATGTGAACAATCCCAGTCTTCTGCTCAAAGCTGTGAATGTACTTCTACCCTGAGGTTAAGAAGTGCAGTTTTGTTTATAGGACCCAATGCAAGGAGTTACAGTTCCCCCGTCCCTCTAGCTGTAGAGAGGAGGAGAACAAGACAATTCAGTCAGCAGTTTGCGATGCCGGCATTCTGGAAGACCAGTACTGTTCTACTTCCACAGAAAAGCCAAGGCCATTGTCATTTAAACCAAATGAAGCTGTAAAGTTTTTTAGAGATGGGTGCTCTTAAAGGCTAGAGGATGGGGAATGTCCTATTTGCTCTGTCGGAAAACAGATGTGCGGTAATAAATGAAATTCCTGCTCTTCAGTTTCTTTTCACCAGTCACATTATTGAGCTACTGTTCTTAGAGAAAGTTGGGAAGAGAACAGTTGGTACAACTGAGAACAGTCTTCCTTTGGGATCAGTGACCTTACAGTTATTACCCTCCCCATTATGTGGTCATGCTTCCTTGCCTCTGGGACGTGGGGAGGAATCGAGCAAAGTGTTCAGAAGGGGAGGTGACCCTGCAGATGGGGCTTGACACAACAGAGCCCTGTTCAAACCCCATTTCCTTGATGAAGCCATTACCTTCCTACCTTTTCTCCCTTTTCTCCTCTTCCTTTTTTCTATTCCAGATCTCAACCTCCATTAATGTTTGGGCTACAGAAATGAGAACAGGGTCTGTAGACACTGACTAAGTCCACTGTTGCTCAAGAAGCTTAAGCAGGGAGGTGTTAGCTTGTTACATCTTCTCCCCAGGCCCCATCCACCTGGCCAACTCCTACACAGCTGTTAAGGCCCATCGTAAGAACTGCCTCCTCCGTGAGTTTTTCTCTGACTTCCCTAGAGAAACTTTTTTGGGGTAGGGCTGGAGAATGTATTTATCAATAATATAATTACTCGAAAACAAAATAATGAATATCCTTTATTTTTCTTGCAGATTTCTTCATGGTTATGCCTCCCCTATAGCCTTTATGTTTCTCCCTTTTCCTTCTCTTCTCCTCCATTGAGGCCAATCTTTTCCCTTGCCTGGTATATAATACCTGGGAGAGGGTGGTGAGGAAGAATCGGGATGTCAAGACTAGAGGGAATAATAATGTGATTCCTTGAGAAGTGATATTCAGCATCACAAAGAGTGGGAACATGGCTGGAAGTGGTGGGGGACAAGGATAGGACAGGAGCCTTAGTTAGAAGGCACCGTTACTGCACCTTTTGCATACTTCCATCATAGCACTTAGCACTTTGTCATTCTTTGCCCACATGTCTATCGAGCCGATAGCCTTCAAGCTTGAGGGCAGACAGGAGTTCTGGTCATCTTTGAGACCTCGGGTGTAGTAAATACCACTGATTTCCCGTGGCCACCACATAAGTTCATTGACTGCAATACTGGCATTAAGCTAATTAGGGAAGCTTATTAGGGATGGTTGGAAAACAATTCAGGTTTGAAATTAAATCCTTGTGCAGGTGCTTTTCATTCTCCAGCTTCTCAGTGCTATAGCTTTGAGTCACCTAAGCTAATGTTGGAGGATGTAAGGTATCAGGGAGCTCTCTTACAAACTTAACCACCTGCACAATTGTGACCTGATGAAATGCTTACCTTACTGTGGTGTTATATGGGTTGATAAAAGAAAGTAGCCCTGGGTGACATCAGATCATCATGCATAGTAATTATATATGGGAAGAAGTCTGAATGACTTCACCTTTATTTGTGGGAGAAAGATAAACCCGTGGGAAGATGTGTTCCTCCCAACCACTTGTGGATTCCTTCATTTGCTTCTTGAGCACCTACTCTGTGAGAGGCACTGTGACAGGTGCTCGGATAAAATGGTGAAAGATGTGGTATCTGTTCTCAGAGTCCGTAAAGGTCAATTACCTTTCTGATTGCAGTAACAACGTAAACTTTTGCTGTAATGGGCCAGATAGTAAATATTTTCCATTTTGTGGGCCATGAGTTGATGTTGTAACTACTCAGTTCTGCCTTCATAGCACCAAAGTGGTCATAGATGATTCATAAACAAATGGATGTGACTGTGTTCTATTAAAACTTTATTTAAGGTTATGGAAATGTGAATTTCGTGTAATCTTCACGTACCATATAATATTCTTCAGATTTTTTTGAACCATTTACAAATATAGCAACTCTTCTTAGCTTGTGGACTGTACAGAAACAGGCAGGGGGCTGGATTTGGCCCTTGAGCCATAGATCTCCCACCCCGACCTAGGAGATGGTCACTGGTAGTTTAGATCTGTGATTCCCAAGTCTAGCTCCTGTTCAACCGAAGTGGAGATCTGCTTGTCTCTTGCCCCCAACCCCAACCCCACAGGTCTTCTACAAAACAAAAATCTTTTTATAAATTTATGGTACTACTGGGGACATCTGGGGACTTGTTTACCTGCGAGAAAATGAAAATGACCCCAGTGACTATTTGGTCTCTGAAACAGTTTTAGTTTTTTTCTTTTTTCCCTTTTTTTCCCTTTCTCTATCTCCATACTGGAAATGAACATAAAAATTCTTTCTGGCTAAATTCCCAATTCAATTTCACAGTGAGCATTTTCTGAAGTGAAAATTAGTAGCTTCCTTGCAGTTTTCATCAGGGATGTGAAATTGTGCAGCTCACAGGGGTGGAGAACTCAAACCCCATTTATGAATTAGTACATGCTGCCGAGAGTACCTTGCTGTCTGCTGAGTGCCAGGGATTCTTTTCTACAGAATCCTGAGTATCTACATAGTGTATTTTAATTTCCTTTCTCATTCCACCAGTGAGCAAATACCATTTTCTATTTGCACAAATGAATTAATATGTAACAACTAGTACCTCTATGAGATTATATTATTTACACCATCCTTAGGGGTTGGCAGCACTTGGGCAAATGATAATGTCTTTCTCTAGTACCCCCTCCCTCCTAGCCAATTTTTATCCAGGTGAAATGTAGTAACAGGGAGCAAGAAGGACACCATCAAACAGGAACCACAGGCAGTAGGAGTAGACATCTATGGGGCAGATCTGGCTCAAGTCCCATTTGTGGCTGCACAGTGATTAGGTATCTATAGAACTTCCTTGTTGAAGCGTAAGATGCCACTTTCACATCTCACATCTTTTTTCTTTGACAGCCTCTGCTTTTCTCCAGCTCTAGCCTTGGTCCCCAAAGCAGCCTTGAGTCCTCAGTCTCAGGATCTAAGTCATTGAACTAGAACTCTTATTTTCCCCCTGCTGGGTTGACTCTGATCTTTCAGGTCAGAAAATTCTGATGGCGGAGGAAATTTGACTCCTGCGGCAACTCACAGGAATCATGGGGGAAGGAATTTTGTCATTGTTAAAAAGCAACACTGTGGACTTTGGAATCAGAGAGACTTGGATTTGAATCCTGGTTTTTCCACTTAGGAGCTATTGTAGAGTTCAAGCAAAATAATTAGCTCCTCTGTGTCTTAGTTTGGATAGCTGTAAAATGGAGGAGAAAAGCTTCCTCACAGAATAGAGAGGAGGATTAAATGAGATAATGAACAGTTAGTAAGTTCTCATTAAAGGCTGAGGAGAGCACCGAGTAAGCGGTCAATAAAAAGACTATCACTTTGACAAGATTTAAAAAATGTTTCCTTCATTTATATGCCAAATGTTTCTTGAATTACTGTTTGCTTCCTAGAAGACCGAGAAATAAAATCCATGTACCACGTGAAATAGAGGCGCTCACGTTCAATTAGAAGAGACAGCCATCTGCCAGCAAGTGCAGTCGTGCAGAGTTGGGGTGTAAAACAGAGGTACGTCAGGTAGAGCGGGGCCCCAGACGTGGGAGTCATCAGCACACCTGGGGATATCAGAGAAGGTGGTGTGCAAGCTAAGTGTTGAAAGATGCATGGAAGTTTGTCCAGTGGTTAAGGGAAGAAGTATGTTCCCATTCACAGGATGGATCGAGATTTGGTTTTGCTAGAGGTTAGGGTAGCAGAGGGGGAGAAAGTGGTCACAGTGGGACTGATGAGGGATTCAGGGGTCCAGTGATAAGGGACTTGAATATCAAGTGAAGGAAACCGGACTCTGACATGCTCAGTGGGTCTTTATGATGTGTGGGAAAGCAGAATGCCTGTGTTTGAGCTAGAATGGAGATCCATGGAGGGCTCAGTCACCATGGATATGTCCAGCCTGTCCCTTACACAGGAGGAACCTGAGGCCAGAGATCAAGTCCTGCAACAAACAACCTGACAAAGTAAAACAGGACGCGGGAAAGGTCATCTAAGTCCAGTGCTTTAAGCTTCCTCCACACCAAAGTCCTCTCCTGTAAATCCAGGCTTCTTCCCAGAAGCCCTGCCTTCTCTGTGCTGGATTCACATACAAGTGCGATTCTAGCACGCTCCTGAGAAACTGCACCATCCCACCTTCTGAACTTCAGACCTATGGGCACTGCCTGCTGGGAGTGGGGACCTCAGTAGGAGCAAGGATGGAGATTTTCCAAAGAGGAAATGAAGGGATTGCCATGCCTTCGAGATCAGAATCAAAATCAAAACGCCAGATTGAGAAAGACCTCTTTCTTTCCCTTGAACTTGCAATCTAGGGACTGTTTTACAACTGAATGCCCATGCATCACCGTGGAGCAGCTCTGGACTTCCATTACCCGACCTGTAGCCACCACCCAGCCCTTCCTTCCCCAGGGCCTAGCAGGAAGCACACCAGCCTAAATGGGTGTGCGTGAGTGAGTGTGTGTGTGTGTTTCCAGATTACAGGTGCCTGGGGAACCCGCACCAAGGGCAACAGAACAGGGGCCTGGGTCTCCTCCCACATTAGGACCCAGAAAAAGGGGCTGGGAGCTGAGCTGCCCTTCCAGCTTCCCCAGGCTCCGCTCCAGCAGCGCCTGGGCCTTTCCAGAGCCTCCACGCTCGCCTTCCCTCCTCCCTTAGCAACCGCGAGGCTGTGGATACCGCCAGCGGGTGGGGGCCTGGGAGGCCACGGGGCAGTTCTGCGGCGGCGGCGGCCCAGCTCAGGTGGCCCGCGCACGGGCGACCGCATTGCGGAGCCACCCCGCGAGCGCAAGTGTCGCTGCGCCAGCGCGCACAGGGCCGCGCGCACAGGGCCCCGCACACCCGACCTCCGCACCTGCCGCGGGTCCAAAAGGGATCCTGCAAAAATGAGCCATTCTCACCCGGCTGGGTAAGTGACAATTGGAGCTTTTCCACCCCGCGGCAGGTGGCGGCTTCAGCCAGCGGCCCCTCCTCCTCCCTCCCGCTGCGGGGGAAGGGGCGAGAGGGGGAAACGAGAGGGAGGCGGGGGAAGAAGAAACAAATAATACGGATTCTGGGTTGCGCTGAGGATGGCAGAAATCCCAGGCTTCCTATCTCCTCCCTCCCTTTCCTCGCTTCTTTTACCGACGTTCGCCTCTTTGAAATTTTCACTCTGGAAGGATTAAAAAAATGGATGTGAAAAACGCATACATTAAGCGGGGACGTTAGCTGGGATCAAAAAGATCCCGTGGCGTGGGGCATGTGTTTGAATGCAAAAGTAGAGGTCACCAAAATATGCATTCGTTTGGAGCTTTGGGAACGAGAGATAAATTTTCACTGTGGCGTCTTGCAGAGAAACGAGGTGTGAGTAGATTTAATGTCGAGGGAGGTTCTATTTTGAGGGGTGCCCCTTATTTCAGGGTCATAGAGATCCTTAAAAGGGTTTTGACCAGGGAAGGTGGTATGATACTGAAGAGGAAGAAGGAAGGAATGGTGTCCTTGTGTGTTTACACATGATCTGTTGCTTTGGGCAGGGTGACTCCTCAGAAGATGTATTTGGCAATTATTTAATCTATTCTAGAAAGTTAACACAGTCATTATTGGATGTTGTTTAAAAAATAAAAGGTCTTGGTCCTTTTATTGGAAGGGAGAATATCCAATTTCCTCCCAAATTAAACAATGTAATGCATATTAGGTGGTTTTTTTATTATGATACATCTAGTAAGCAGATAATATCCTAGTTGATCTTGCAACTAATTTGAAAATGTTTTCCTTTTTAATTGGATTTATTGCACCTTTTCAAGAGCAGCAAATTAGTAGAGGACAACATATTTAAGACCATTTGGAGTTTGTGATGTCTGAAATACCACATTAGTCGTTTAGGATTTATAGTCGAACTTAAAGATTTTATTTTTTAATGAATTCACTGAGTGTAATGACGTAAACAGAATGTTTAAAAAACTAGAGGTATACAAGGTGCCATGTTGGAAGTCAATTTCAGAACTTTTTTTGGAAAGCAGTGTAGCTCCGACTAAACAAGCTTCTCATTTTATCTCAAATTGAATTTAGTTTAGGTACTTTAACACTTTGATGCTGAACTCCTGTGCAATTTTAGTTAGCCGTGGGTCATGTGGGATGTAAATGGCCCTATTTTTCTGCAGCTGCTGTTTGCAGTATGTCCACATTCGGGAAAATGAATGTGTCAGTCATGGTTGTCTTCCTGTTTTTCGAGTTTTTGGCTAAGTTAGAATCTTATTAGGCCATTTAATCATCCATTTTAAAATGTGGGAAAACCTGTAGCTGCTTATTAAATTGTGCATGATTAAGATTTCAGAAACTGAAGTGAAATTTTTCTGAAGCTCCGTTAGTTCCAAGCACATTGGAAAAGAGGAAAATTTATGATCTAGGGAAGGAGTATGCTTTGTGGTACTCTTCGAGAAAGATATTAAGATGGTAACAATAATTTTGCACTAAAATTGTAAGCTCCTGGAGAGTAGGCACTATGTCTTATTAATCTTTGTGCCTCCTTTACCTAGGACCATGTTATGCATAAGGTAAAGCTCAGTAAATGTTTGTTGAATGAATGGTGTGTTGGTGTGTTCTGACACTCCCTCCAGTCTGGAAGTGGATGTATTCACATATGAAAAGCATACTAGAGCTGAACAAGTGTTTACCATGTGTCACACTGTAAAATAATGCTTCACATGATATACCTCGTTTAATTTTCCCACCCATTTCTTGAGGCAGGTTCTAGTCACCCTCATTCTCACAGGGAAGGAAACTAAGATCTGAAAATTTCGAAAGGTCTCACAGGTAGGCAAGTGTCAGGGCTGGAAAGCAAAACTAGGCCATCCAGTTTCAGAGCCTGTGCACTGTGCAATTATACTGCATTGCGTCTCATGGCCAATAGCTGAGATGTATTGGAGCCCTAGATATATAGAAATTCCTATCCAGATCAGACCAACATCTGACAAGTGATTGCTTTACATAGCTATCTAGCATGTAGATATATAGAAAATTACTGTGTAATAACGTGTATATGTGTATTATTTTGTTTTTAGTTCATCAAAAGTAAATGAAAACAATAAACGTAAGACTAACAACTCTAAATGCCTTAGAATTCATCCAGGAACAAAATTATTCAAATTGCTGAAGTTTCTCGTCAATATAAGTAGGGATTATTTTTCTTGCCTATGCCACCATTTGGAAATAATAAAAGATTCAGTAGCAAATAAAAGGTTTCATTAAAGCTGAGAAAGCTTTTCCATCATTGCTGAAGTAGTTTGTACTTATTACATTTTAAGGATAAATGGTAATGAAGTGCAGTGGTACAATAAAACAGAAATTTCGAATCCCTAAAATTCCACCAATCAATAAGTGATGCCCTGATGCTTTCTCTCGGTGCTTCCTTGGAGTTCCACTGCTCACTTAATTACAGCAGGAAACACTTGATATAAAAATTGCAAAGGGCCTGTGCTGACTTAGTTCAGATAGAGTTTGGAGTAAATAAAAATGGTCTTAAAAACTTCTGCCAAAGATTATAATAGAGACTTTGAATCTGAGCTGCATTGTAATTTGGGGGAAGTCAACTATAAAACATGGCTCCTGGCACTGCCATCTCTGATGCAATTGTTTTAGAGTGGGAAATTTCAACTGATAGTCCCTTAGCTTTGCTAAATCTCACCCTGGGTTGCTCTTTCTGTGCGTGTGCACGTGTCTGTGGGTTGCACTCTAGTCCTGGAGGTGGAATGGGGATATTATACCCCTCAGTCATGCATGAGGATGAAATGATACGGCTCTTCTAACTCCTTCAAAGGATCGTCAGTGAATCCATGTGAAGTTGACTCCCTGTGTGAAAGATAAGGTTGGCTCTAAGTAGAGATAGTCACACTCATCTGTAAATTTGCTTTGAGGAATTGGAAGAATGGGGAGCATTATGGTTTATGACAAGATAAAAATGCAGAAGATGTATGCTTGGAAAAATTGCTCCAAGGTTTAGACACACTTTTTTTTAAATTTAGACCTATTATTGTAAATCTTTTTAATGTAAACAAATGTTTCTGTACTGACAGAGTACAGATCTCCCTCGACTTATGACGGGGTTACGATCCAATAAACCCATTGTAATGTAAGTCCAAAATGCACTTAATACACAGAACCTACTGAGCATCATAGCCTTGCCTACCTTAAACGTGGTCAGAACAATTACATTAGCCTATATATTTGGGCAAAGTCATCTCACACAAAGCCTATTGTATAATATAGTGGTAAATATCTCATGCAGTCTATTGAATGATATACCGAAGGTGAAAAACAGAATGGCTATCTGGGTACATACAGGACGGTTTAAGTGTATCAGTTTTTTATCCTGGTGACTTAAAGCTGACTGGGAGCTACCACTGCCAGGATCATCAGAGGCTATCATCCCCCAAATTGCTAGCCAGGGAAAAGATGAGAATTCAGAATTCAAAATGGTTTCTTCTGGGTCATATTTATGTACCATCGTAAAGTCAAAAAATCATAAGCCAAACCATTGTAAGTTGGGGACCATCTGTATACTGAAGTGTGGTATAGAAAGAATTAACACATCCCTAGTACTTGCTGATAACTCAGTCCTTCTTCATCAAAGGCAGGTGAAAACTGCTGGGAGTAAAACTGTCAATTTTTAGATAGTGGATATATATATATATATATATATATCCAAAAGTGACAACAAATTATCAACCCACCATGTCATTTACAATTGGAGTTCTCATTGTACTTTGTCTCTGCCTTTTTTGTTTGGTTCAACAGGGTATTTTCTTAAAAATTGTGATATAATTAACATATAACACTAGTTTCAGGTGTACGATATAATAATTCGATATTTGTTATGTCCCACAAAATGATCAACATAAATACTGTATGATCTCACTTATATGTGGAATACAAAACAATAACAACAACAACAACAAATGAACTAATAGAAACAGAGAACAGAACAGATTGGCTGTTGGCAGAGACGGGGCTGGGTGGAGGAAGGGTGGTGGTGAAATGAGTGAAGGGAGTCAAAAGGTACAAACTTCCAGTTGATAAATAAATCATGGCGATGTAATGCACATCATGGTGATAATAGCTAATAAGACTATTTTTTTTTTAATTTGAAAGTTGCTAAATCTTAAGTTGCTAAAAGTTTTTTAAAATTGAAAGTTGCTAAATCTTAAAAGTTCTTATACACACAAAATTTGTAACTGTGTGGTGATGAATGCTAACTAGATTTATTGTGGTGTCTGCCTTCCTAGCAAAGTGTAGTGATTTATATGGCTGTAGTAACATTCTAGTCTGTTCGTTGCTCACCACTCTCCCACCACCAAAATTATCTCTGTCACACAGAAAATCAGACTTGAAGTCATTAAATATTTGAATTCAAATTGGGTAGTTTCTACTCACCCTCCTGTTACATAATAACAATTTAACTTCAGGAATAAATTGTTTCTGATTAAACGAGGTGAATTGAATATGTTCGTTTGTCTTGACTTCTTCTCTGATCATCTATTATAGAATCTGCTCTTTTTGTTATAGATGGGATGTCATCTCTTATTCCTTTGCTTTACAAACCTGTTCACATACATAGATGGGATTGGAAAGGGATTTGTTTGTACAACATCACTCAATTCTTTGAATTTCTTCAGAGTTATATTGCCAAAAATCACATAGTGATCTATTGCCAAAAAATGTTTTCAGTGATCTTTCAAATGTGATCCTTCACTTGTGTTGAAAGCAAAGGGTTGGACATTACTTGCAATCATATTTGTTGCCCAGTCATGAAAGCACTTGTTGTATTAACATCTATGCAATACTCCAGGTTGTCCTTTTACTTTTCAGCTATCCTTCTAAGTTCAGTGCACCCTAATAAGACACCAGGTGGTGAGAGGTGTGCCTTTCTTTTGT